CCCGCCGCGCTCGGGGCTGCGGGACCGGGACCGGGACCGGAGCGGGCCGGGCCATGGCCCCTCACCCGCCCAGCCCCGGGCAGTACCTGCGCTCCGACAGCGGCGGCTCCGACACGCCCATGCTGCCCGAGGGCTCCGCTCCCGGGGCCGCCCCCGGTACCGTTCCCGGTCCGGACCGCGGCCCCGGTGCGGTGCGGGGGCAGCGGCGGCGGCGGCGCTGGGGGCCGCTCTGGGGCAGCGTGGCCGTCATGGCAATCCTGGCCCTGCAGATCGCCTCCACCACCGGCCTCTTCGTCTACTTCACCATGGCCATCTCCAAGGTGAGCTTTGTCCCGCCACCGGCGGCGGGGCTGCGCCCCCGGGAGTCCCGGCGGCTGCGGGAGGGCGGATCCAGATGTGGATTGGGGATGGACACTGCCCCAGCTCCCCAGGGAGCCACGGACCCAGATGTGGATTGGGGAGTGGGACACTGTCCCAGGGAGCCACGGATCCAGATGTGGATTGGGGAGTGGGACACTGTCCCAGGGAGCCACGGATCCAGATGTGGATTGGGGGTGGACATTGCCCCAGCTCCCCAGAGAGTCACGGATCCAGATGTGGATTGGGGGTGGACATTGCCCCAGCTCCGCAGGGACCGGCGGGTCCAGATGTGGATTGGGGGTGGCCATTGCCTGAGCTCCGCCTGGAGCTGCAGATCCAGCTGTGCAGGCGTGGGAGGAGGGGTGGACACTGTCGCCAATCCAGATGTGGAGAGCCGGCGCCTTTGTCCTGGCCTGTGCTGGGATCCCCCATTCCCACCTCCCACGGGGTCACTCGGGCAAAACCGCTCCCAAACTCGGCTGGGACGGCTCTGATCCTTTCAGCAGCCTCGCCAGCCCCTCCCCTCAGCGGCTGATTCCGAGCCACAACAACCCCCAGCCGCGGGAGGGAAGCCGGTCAGGAGATCCATGGGCAGAGGGAAATTCGGGGCTGGCAGCAGCTCCATGGAAGCCACGCTCATCCCTGAGGGTGAGGCAAAACAAAACAAAACAAAAACAAAAAAAAAAAGGGTCCTGCAGTGCCAGACATTCACAAATCACAGCAGAGACGGGGAAGAAGGAAAAGCCCTGCCCGCGGATGCCGGGAAATAAACAGCCTGTCTGGATCCAGCGGAGCATCCTTTGGAGTGAGCTCCAGACCTCCTTCGGGCTTTGTCTCCATCCCTGGGTCACTTGAGGTCCCGCTGTGAGGGATTTACATGAAAGGCAGGGAGAGGAGGGGAATGGGGAGACACAGCCCCAGGGCAGAGGCGGAGGGAGGAGAAAACCACTCTAGAGGAACAATTCGGGCTCATTTCTGCGGCCGGTCACTGATGTGTGCTGGGAGCAGGGACTCGGTCTCTTGGAGCCTCTTTAGGACCTGGCTGGGGCTCTGAGCTTTACCTGGAGCCTTCTCCAGGTGAGCACCCGCAGCGCTCCAGTTCCGTGGCTTTCTCTGGAGCCGCTCCAGCCGCTTCCCGTGCCCGGTTCCACGGGCAGCCCTGCCCGGGCACGCACCCGCCGCGGGCATTCCGAGGGAACAGCCTCATCCCGGGGGATTCGCTGCCTTGGCAGCGCCCGGCACTGCCCCCTGGGCGGCCAGGTGTGTGCAGATGTGGGCAGATGTGGGCAGGTGTGGGCAGGAGCCTGCGAGCCCTCCCGCTGCCCACCCGCGGGGAATGGCTGGGGCTGGGCTGGCCAGGGCTCCAGCAGGGCAGAGATGAACCCGGACCCTTTGACACTGACCCCACACCGCTGTCCTGTGGATCCAGAGGCTGAATGATCCCAAAATGCTGTGCATGTAGAGGCTAAACTGGTCCCAGTATCCTGTGGATCTAGAGGATTAACTGATCCCAGTATCCTGTGGATAGAGAGGCTGAGTTAATCCCAGTATCCTGTGGATCCAGAGATTGAACTGGTCCCAGTATCTTGTGGATCCAGAGGCTGAACTGATCCCAGTATTCTGTGGATGTAGAAGCTGAGTTAATCCCAGTATCCTGTGGATACAAAGGCTGACTGATCCCAGTATCCTGTGGATACAAAGGCTGAATGATCCCAAAATCCTGTGGATCCAGAGGCTGAGTTGATCCCAGTATTATGTGGATGTAGAAGATGAACTGATCCCAGTATCTTGTGGATAGAGGTTGAGTTGATCCCAGTATTCTGTGGATACAGAGATTGAACTGATCCCAGTATCTTGTGGATCCAGAGGTTGAATTGATCCCAATATCCTGTGGATCCAGAGGCTGATCCCGATGCCCTGGTTGTTCTCTGAGTGCCCAGGTGCTGGAGGAGCCAGGCTGAAGGCAGCTGCTCCTGCTCCCACCCCAGCAGGATCCTGGCTGCCCCCTCGGTGTGTCCCAGTTTTTCCATCACTCTTTGTTTCCCTCCCAGCTGAAATCGCAGGCTCCGGGCAGCCCCGAGGAGCTGCGGTGTTTGCAGATGCTCAATCAGCAGCTCGAGGGCTCCAGCCTGGAGGAGCTGAGCAGCAGCCAGGGCTGCCTCAAGCTGGCCAGCACCATCAAAGCCTACGTGGCCACGGTGAGCCCGGGACCTGGGGGGGATGGGAGAGCTCCTGGGTGTCCCTGTGCCTCAGTTTCCCCATCCACCTCACCGGAGGGGGGAATAGCCAGGATGGTTCAAGGTGGGAGTGGGACTGAGCCCTCCACAGCACGGAGGTGGTGGGGCCCAGAGACAGGGAAGGGGATGGAGGCTTGGAGGGACCCCCGTGTCACCTTTAACCAGGGAATTCTCTCTTCTCTGTGTGCAGGTGACCGAGAACATCATCCGCAGGAATGCCGTGAAGGGTGAGTCCCTCCTGGGGCTGCAGCCAGAGCCCCTGATCCACTCCTGGGGCAAACTCCACTGCTGGGAGCTGGGGCAGGAGGGGGAGAGCCAGGATTGTCACTTGCAATGACAGACGCCCGTTCTGGGAATGGGAATGTCCGTTTGTCCAGGGACCCGGGGCCGTGGCACACATGGATGTGTTGGTTGATGATTGATGAGACGTTTCCATCCCTCAGTAACCTTTTGCTCTGCTGGGTCAGTGGGGCATTCCCTGCCCTGCCAGGTGTCCCCACGCTGTCCTTACAGTCCCTTTCCTGCAGAGGCCTGGCAGAGCTACTTCAACACCTCAGAGGGGCAACTTCCCCCCAAAACATCTGGGAAAGCCTCGGCACATCTCACCCTCCGCCCGCAGAGCCTGGCTCAGGATGGTGAGTGGGGGAACCCCTCTGGGACTGCTGGGTCCCCAAATGGGAACAGGGCAGAGATCAGGGGGACCGGGATGCTTGGGGAGAGGTTCACTCCAAACTGGGACAGAGCCAGAGCCACCCCGTCCCCTGGGTGCGACCCTGCCAAGTCCCCAAATGGGAACAGGGCAGAGATCAGGGGGACCGGGATGCTTGGGGAGAGGTTCACTCCAAGCTGGGTGACTGGGACAGAGCCAGAGCCACCCCGTCCCCTGGGTGCGACCCTGCCAGGTCCCCTCAGCTCCCGTCCCTTCCCGCAGGACCCTCGCAGCACTCGTGGAACCTGTCGCAGTCGTGTCGCCACGCCCTGACGCACTGGGGCCACAGCAGCCTGCAGTCCCACGTGTACAACATGTCGTACCGGGCGGGGCGGCTGCGGGTCCAGCAGCCGGGCAAGTACTACGTGTACTCGCAGATTTATTTTCGCTACCGCGGCGCCGGGCGCCTCTCGGGCCCGCAGCTGGTGCAGTGCATCCAGTGGCAGCCGGCGCACGGCCCGCCCGTGCTGCTGCTCAAGGGCGTGGGCACCAAGTGCTGGGCACCCGAGGCTGAGTACGGGCTGCACGCGCTCTACCAGGGCGGGCTCTTCGAGCTCCGGGAGGGCGATGAGCTCTTTGTGTCCGTCTCCTCCCTGGCTATCGACTCCAACGATGCAGCAGCCAGTTATTTCGGGGCCTTCCGGCTCGACCTGTGACACCGCCGCGCTCCCACCTGGCCCAGGTGGCCCCAGGACAGCGGGCGATGGCCCGGGGCTGGCTCAGGGCTCTTGTCGCTGTGCTGGCCCTCGCTGTGCTCGGTGCCACCCTCCACGTGGGAAGCAGCTGTGAGCCAGGAAGGGGCTCCAGGACCTACAGGGGACAAGGACGAGGTGGGGACACGCCAGCCCTGGTGACACAGCAGCTCCCTGCAGCAGGAAAGGCACCAGGGCCACATCTGCTACTGCAAGACAAAATGTCCCCACGGCAGGGTGACACCCGTGACTCTCACCCCACCTTGGGCAGGGCTGTGGTGCCAGGACCTGGGGCTGCGAGCACCCCTGGGGCACAGGGCTGGCAGCTCTGGGGACAGCAGTGACACCCCTGGGGGGTGAGGGGATGGGGCAGGTCCAGGCTCAGCCTCTGGAAGGAGTGAAGGAGTTTCCATTTGGGAGATAAAAACCTGGGGCAGCAGCAGCCATGGCTGCAGGGAGGGCAAAGGGCAGTGACACCACAGCAGTCACCAGTCCTGACATCACACCTGGCACGTGGCACTGGGGCACGTGGTGGCCCAGCCAGGCTGCACAGGGCCAGGAGCTCAGCACAGCTGCTGACCAAGCACCTCTTCCCTCCCAGCCCTCATGGACAGCACAGCCCCCAGTTCCTCACACCTCCAGCCCTGGGTGAGCCCCCCGTGGTCACAGCAGGAGCTTGGAGGGACCAAACCAGCCCTGGGGTGATGGAGGCCGCCCCAGAGGCCAAAGGTGGGGTGAGGCAGGGCAGAGCAGGGCCCAGCTGGCTCAGCCCCCTTTTGTATCCCCCTGTACTCTCTGTAGCCCCCTAAGCCTGGGGGGATTTACAGACAGCAGCGTGGGGCTCCCTGGGAGGATGGGATAAAGCCTTGGACTCCAGCACAGCCCTGGCCCTTTGCACCCAGGATGGACCCAGAGCCAGGGGGAGCAGGGCTGGGGCGGACAAAAATCCATTCTAAAATCCATCCCTTCTCCTCCACCTCTCATCCCCCCTCCTGCTGTCCCAACCACTTTGGTGACCCAAAACAGGGCTCAAACACCCCTGGGAGCACCGAGCTTCTCCCAGCCCTGGAACAGCCATGGCAGAGCAGGGCTGAGCCAGCAGGAAACGCAGCAGGTGGCTCCAGATTTCCTTTGGAAGGGAATTTAATGTGGACACGGCCTGATGGAGCCAGCACAGGTTGTGTTTGCCGTGGAGGAAGCAGAGAAAGCAGAGAGCAGGGAGAGCTGGGCTCGGTGCCAGCAGCCACTGGCCCTCGCTGCTTTCCTGGAAAGGAGAGGGCTCGTGGGTGAGTGCACAGGGAAAGGAAAAGTGCAGCAGCATCAGGGCAAAGAGCAGCCTCACCCTGGCTGCGAGAGCCCAGCAGGAATTGCTGGCTGTGAGGAGCTGGCACAGCTTCCCCCGAGCAGCCTCAGCCCCTCGGGCTCCTCCCCGGACCCCCCAGCCTGGCCAGGTGCTCCCACCTGGACAGGAGGATCAGCCAGCAGCAGGAGAACCCAGCAGTGTGAAAACCCAGCCTCCACAAAAACTGCCTGTGCCAACACTGCCTGTGCCAGGAGAGAAAGAACAAAGTGTGGAGAGACCTGCCTGAGGACACACCACTCTTCTCTGGCTGAGGAAACAAAATCTGCTGCACAAATGGAGCAAAGTACAGAAGATTTCTCATCAATTTCTCTCTGTTATTGTTAAAATTGTTTATTAGAAATTACAGCTCACTATTTTAGTGTGAGTATTGCTGATAAGTTTACTGTAACTCCTACTCGAAAGTGAAGTCAGTGGTGCCTAAAGCAGCTCTGCATTCCCCCACGGCCTCCCTCAGCCTGGGGAGAGCCACAAGAATAAACAACTCCCCATTATCCCTTCTGACCCTGTCCCCAAAACAGAGCTCCAGCTCCCCAGGCAGCACAGTGTCCTTACAGTGTCCCTGCAGTGACAACTCTGGAGCCTCCTGGCTCTTCCTTAACGCCCTGAGCTGAAGGAGGGCAGGGTCAGAAGGGAAAATGAGGAGAAATTCCTTCCTAGGGTGGTGGAACACTGGCACAGGGTGCCCAGAGCAGCTGTGGCTGCCCCTGGATCCCTGGCTGTGCCCAAGGCCAGGCTGGATCAGCCTGGGACAGTGGGAGATGTCCCTGCCATGGCAGGGGTGCACCAGGATGAGCTTTATGTTCCTTCCAGCCCAAACCATTCCAGAATTCTCTGAGCTATCCTGGGAGGTGAGTTCAGCACTAATAAAATCTCCACGCTGACCTGATTTCCCATGGCCTCGCCCTGAGGATTCAATCCAAGCACAAAGTGCTTCCTGCAGCCGCTGCCAAAGGACCCTCTTATCTGCTCTGCTGAGGAGCTTTTACCTCAGCCCAGGGCGCTCACAGCCCGAGCCTTGCCTCCAAATAAATCCTGGGCCCAAAGGCTCCTTTTTTCCCCCCTCTTTGTTGTTATGAATCAGCTCATTGCTACCTCCAAGTCTCCATCCCTGCCCAGACACGATCGCGTTTCACTTTTAAGTCCCCAGCCTGGCCCGAGTTCAGAGTGGGGAGAGGAAATCCACGTCAGGAAATCATTCCTTGGGCCGCTGTAAATAAAGCACACAAAGAGAGGCAGAGGGGTGTGGTGTGAGCCCAGCAGTGCCCCCCGCTCTGCCCCGGGCCACCTCCCCAGCACCAATACCCCAGGCAGGGATTCAGCCTGAAAAAGGGGAGAAACAAAACAGAAACCTCTTTCCTACAGCACGAAGGATTCCTTAAACCCTGCAAGAGCTCCTTAAAGCCTGCAGGATCTCCTGAAAGCCTCAGGAAAACAGGAATGCAGTTACTGGGGTGCTGGGAGCGAGCAGGGGAGAGGCTCAGGGAGCTCAGCTCATCGGTGCTGCTGCAGGCTGGAGGCTCAGCTCATCCCCTGTGAGATCCCAGAGCTTTGGTTTGGGTGGGAAGGACCTTTAAATCCATTCAGGGCAATCCCATCCCAGCCCCCCAGAGGGAAGAAGGGATTTCTCTCCTTTGCAGGAGTTTGTCCCTGCTCCCAGCAGCAGCCCCGGCTCCGTTCCCCCGGTTCCCTCTCGGAGCTGGAGACATCAGGAAAAAAAATTCCACTTCTAAAGAAAATTCCTCGTTTTGTGTTCTGTTCAAAGCCCTGCACTATTCCACTGGAATCCGACTGGTTTGGGTTGGGGCCTTGAAGATCAAAGTCAGCTCCCCAGTCCCAGCACCCCACAGCCCCAGAGAGGTCCCCAAAACCCTGCCTAAAAGTGAGCCTCCCTAAAGCCCGGCCCTACTGGGCTTTTCCTGCCCTTCCCGGACAGGAATTTCTCCCACTGAAAGCACAATCTGTGGCACAGACACAGCAGCAGCTGAGGAGAGTGAGGAGCTGCTGGGCAGCTGCTTCCTGCCCCGGGCTCCCATTGCCAGTGCAGAGCAGCTGCAATTCCCTGACACCTGCAATTCCCTGACACCTGCAATTCCCTGACACCTGCAATTCCCTGACACCTGCAATTCCCTGACACCTGCAATTGCCCCTGAGATCTGCAATTCCCTGACACCTGCAATTCCCCCTGACTGCTGCTCCCCCAGGAGCAGCTGGTTTGAGCCACCAGCCAGCTGGGATGTTCCATGTGGGATAACCCTGCACACGGGTTTCACTTTTAGCACCTTACCTTGGCACTGGGTTGCTGCAGCTTTCCCACCAGGAGAGGAATGTGCTCATGGATTGTGGATTTAATTCAGGCAGGACCACATTTCCCAAGCTGGGACCCTCCTGAGGATGGGAAGGTGAGGAGAAAATAGAAAAGCTTTGTGTTTCTGGTGTCCCAGGTGTGGCACAGGAAGAGAAGCCAGGGTGGACAGGACAGGAATTCCCAGAAAGGAGCTCCCAGGGGATTGGGAGAAGGCAGCCCCAGCTCCCAGGAGCATCCACCTGCCCTCCAAACAGAACAAAAAAAGTAATTTCAAAGCAAAGCTGCTGCTGAGGCAGCACACGAAGAATTCCAACCATCTCCTGCTGTACAAAACCACCACAGACCAGTCCAGGCTTTTATTTTCCAAGCAGAAGGAACTGGATCCATCAGTGACACCTCAGGTTGAGGCAGCTCTGAGCTGTACAAGGACTGAGACACCAGGTGGGAGCAGCAGAGCAGGACTGGCTGCTGGATGGCTTTGGAAGATCAGGAATCTGGCTTTTGCTCCGTGGAAAGACAAGGAATTTGTAACAGAAAGACTTGAGAGGGACCCAGCCAAGTCCAGCCAGGAGTCTCCACAAACATGGAACAGCTGAGGCCAGGGTGAAGAGCAGCATCCAGAAACCTCCCAAATTCCAGGGAAAGGGCACAGTTTTATAAAAAGGAAAATCATTTGGTCAGTGCTGGACAGGGACTGGGGAGCACAGGGGGCTGTGCTGGGAAGGGTTTCTTGCATAGTTGTTGGCCAAAGGAGAGCTGGAGCAGTGGATTCCTGCTGGGAAGGGAGCAGGAACAGCATCCCCAGGCACGGGGCAGGGGAGGAGCAGCCAACTGTGCCATGCCCAACTGCAGCTGGGCTTGGGAAGGGCAGGAATTCTGGACTCAGCCTCTGGGATTTTACTGCCATGATCAGGGGAAATCAGGGAGAAGGAATCCTTGGACATGGATGAGAGAAAAGGAGCAGGATAGGAAGACACCTGTGAACTCTTCCTCCTCCTTGAGGCTCTCAAGAGAAAACAGCAGCAGAGTAATTAATACATTCACTAATTAATCAATTAGCATCCTCCCAATCAGAAGCTGGGCTCAATTTTAAGGAGATCTGATGTGAGCAGTTAGGTTTGGGGTGGGTTTTTTTTTTTCCTTCTTTCAGCCAAGCAGCCTCAAGCAGCCAAATTTTATTTTTCTCTCCTTCATTTTGGCTTCCCAAGGTTGTGGTTTTTCCCAAGTGGGAATACACCACGCTGAGCCCAGCCCTGTCCCTGTGCCACCACCTGAACACCGTGTGCAAAACCATCCTGCTCCTTCCACACCTCTGGAAGTGCACAAACACCTTGGCTTTTCCTCCCCACAAAAGAAGAGGAGGAAATAAATACAATTCTCTAACATTTTGCTTTTACTCCTTCATGGAATCTTTCCAACTCAACTTCACAAAAGCAATGTAAATAAAGTCTCTTTTTTTTCCTTCTAAAAAGAAGATCATGTTCCACAGATTCCGTAGTGCAATTGGTTATCTGGTAGAAAAAAAAAAAAATATCATCTTCAGCTCCATGGAGAAAAACACTGGAAACAGTTCCATGGTCTCAATAAAAATAGGAAAGTCTACCCAGGATGGGCTAGAAAAGTTCCAGGTGTGTGGGACACACAGTCCCTCCAGTCTGCCTCTAGTTGAAGAGGATGGACTCGGGGTCCTGGTTGGCCATCTGTGCAATGTGCTTTAGTACATCCTTTTTGGTAATGATCCCCAGCAGCTTCCTGCAAAATGAAAAAAAAAACGATTTTAATTGCATTGATTTTAATGCAAGGGCCACTTGAGGAGTTTTTTGGGATTCAGAGTGACACCCCACAGAAAGCACTGCACCCTCTGAGGGTGGTAAAACACTGACACAGGCTCCCAGAGCAGCTGTGAGTGCCCCATCCCTGAAGTGTCCCAGGCCAGCTTGCACAGGGACAATTTCGGGAGCTGGGCTCTGTCACAAGTGCCTTTGGCAGGCAAGAACTGCTCCAGTATCCAGATGGATCCCAGGGCTGTCCCAGAGCAGGCTGTGGCCCCAGGGCTGTCCCCAGGGCTGTCCCCAGGGCTGTCCCCAGCTCTCACCCGTTGTGAGTGACCAGGCACTGGCGCAGCCCCAGCTTGCGGAAAATGTCCACCACGATCTCCATGGGTGTCTCATCTGTCACCGTGAAGGGACTCAGGTCCAGGATGCTCCTGAGCTTCAGCACAGATGGGGAGCTCGGGGGCAGGGGGGGACAGTAGTCAGTGAAACAAATAATTGAGGTGCTCACGATCCCATCCTGCTTCTTCCTGGCGTTTTCTGGAAAGAGAAGCACACGGTTCAGTAGCAGCACTCCTTTCCTGTAACACACAGAAAGTGTTCCCATCCCTCAGCTCACATTTAATGGCCTTACAAGTCCTTTCCTAGAGCTGTTCCCACCCAAGGAGGGTGTGATGGGTTCCTTTCTAAGGGAACCATGGAATCATTAGGGCTGGATAAATCCTTTATGACCATCAGGTCCAACCGTGGACCAGCACCACCACCATGGTCAGCACTAACCCACACCCTCAAGTGCCACATCCACATTTCCTGAACACTTCCAGGGATGGGGACTCCAGGGCAGCCTGTGCCAGGGCTGGACAACCCTTTCCATGAAAACATTTTCCCCAATATCCAACCTAAACCTCACCCTGTCACTTGTCATGTGGGAGGAGCTCCAAGATCTCCAAAGTTCCACTGCAGGGATCAGCACATCAGCTTGCCCAAAGCCAAGGTGCTGCACCTCGCTGTGCTCTGGCCAGGTAAATACAAGTTCTGGAGAACTTTTAACTTCCCAGTTTTTAGAGGAGGTAAATAAAAAGCTCTGTACTTTCACGAGTCACTGATTTGGGTCCCATGCAGAGCAGTTTAAGGACTACTTTGAAGCACTCAGAGATTGGCACAGGCTCCATGGACGTCATCAGGGTCAGGAATGGAAAACAAGTGAAGCACTGGCCATCCCTCAGCCCCCACAGCAGGGCACACAGCTGCTGTGGGTACCTGCCACACTGCAACCTGCTATCAGCATTCCAAGGCTTCCTGGCAAGGGGCAGCTCTGGCAGCCCAAACACCAGGCTGGATATTCAGAATACTTTAGAATATTTGAGATATTTGATCATGAAAACTCAAACCCCATCCTGTGCACAGCCTGGGGACAGGAGCACTCTTAACGAAGCCCTGGAGATTCCAAGGAACCCAAGAGCAGAAGCTCATGGTGGTACCACAGGCAGGCAATGCACACAGGATCCTGATGTGCTCATTCCTGTATTTTATCCCATATTGTCCCAGGCATCAGTGGCAGGACAAGAGGACACAGCTCAGGCTGTGCCAGGGGAGGTTCAGGCTGGACAGCAGCAGGGATTTCTTCACAGGAAAGCCTGCTAACATTGGAAAGGCTCTCCAGGGAGGGGTCCAGGCAAGGCCTGGATGTGGCACTCAGAGCTCTGGGCTGGGGACAAGGTGGGGACTGGATACAAGTTAGACTCGATGGTCCTGGAGGATTTTTCCAACCTCAGTGATCCTGTGACAAACCACCCTGTCTAAGAGTTGAGAGGGATGCAGGACTTCAGGCTGGCTCTTTAAAATGCTGTTTATGGTATCCAGAGGATACAGTGGTTTATTTATTGTTTAAAATGCTGTTTATTGTATCCAGAGGAT